GTACACTGATAAAAATGACCTTAAATCATCGTCATAATGACGTCATCTTGCTACTTGGGATACATAGATTTTATACGAATAATCTTAGTATATTCGATATGATCACAGTACATTCAGTATAAATGCAAAATATTCATATGATATCATGTGCTGCTAGGGTATATTCAATATATTCTGAAGATGAGCTTAAGAATATACGAGAAATGATATACCATCAAGATATCATATGAATGTTCTCTAGTATATTAGGCAATAGTACGTATGACCACAGCACTTTCAGTACGAGTGTAGAATATTCGAATGATATCATGTGCTATTAAGGTAGTACCTTGTTGGTATATGATCAATGTCAGATAAAATTAGGTATGTATGTACATTATACTATCAGGGAACAGGGAGTCTTCGATTGTCGAGTATAATCGAGGCGCTCTTTAGCAACCGTTCTTTCCAACATTGATTCTTGCAAATGATAATCAATAATCGCATTTGATTTGTTGTCAATCCTCCTTTACATTTGACCTTGTTTTCTCGTTTAATTTTCGTCCAATCTTTCGCCCAATGATGGTGCGACACGCTCAACTCCACATAGAAATACGCTCATTGAGATATTTTTTTTCAACGCACCGATAGGCAGCGATGGAGTACGTACAGTCAAAGTACGGTGGAGTAATCGCAAAGTTGCTCGTAAAAGTCATCGTCGAATCATGGGTGGTGGATAGCAGTGGATATGGCGCAGGGAGCGTTGCGCGTTGCATCTCGTCCGTGGATCGATAAAATAGAATGGCTGTTCTGCAAGAGAAACAAAGAGAGAAAGCGAGAGACGATGTGGTACGGGGTAGAGTCGAGGGTGGGTAAAGTGATGGCGGTAGCGGTAACGGAGACGGTGGTGGTGATGGTAGTGAGGTAGTGATAGTAGCGGTAGTAGTAGTGGTGGTATGGTGATTGTGACGATGAAGGTAGGTGATGGTGGTAGTAGTGGTGCTAGTGGTGGTAGTGGTGGTGGTGGTGATGGTGGTGGTGGTGGTGGTGGTGGTGGTGGTAGCGACGGCGGCGGCAGGCGGCGGCGATGAGCATAAAGAGGATAGGATAATATCGGTGCGCGTCCTTTCGCGGAGGTGTCCTTTCACGGGGCTTTATATCCGGATTCGTCTCGCGATCACTCGTAGCCGATCTGTACAATGTAGTTATGCCGAAAAAAGGTACGCGACACGTGAGGGAGTTGGGGAACACTAAAAGCGTGCAACAACAACAACAGCAGCAGCAGCAACAACAACAACAACAACAACAGCAGCAGCAGCAGCAACATCCAGCACTGCTGCAGCCGCTCGATGCGGCGACGGCGACGACTGTCTCGGAAGTGGCGACAGCGAAACATTTTCGCAGCATTCGTATCGGTTTGACCAACGGCAAACGCTGGTTGTCGCTCAAGAATCGTCTGGGCTTGACGACAGACGAGGATGTCGCGGTATACTTGCTGGATCTTGCGGAATCTGTCGCTGCCACTAGGTACGTAACGTATTGTGTGGTATCACCGCTATCATCAATCGCAATTGTTCGACGCTGACGAACGCGTCGCATTCGTTGGCAGTCGACACCGCGCACAATCCACCCGACACCTTTGTCGGCGGACGCGCGACAAAGTCTAGCTGTCGCGCGTTCAGTGCTTTTCCCCTACCCTTGCCGAACGCGTTTCGTCGAATCGCCATCTTACGGGAGACGATAGTCGGAGACACGAGAGGGACGACGAATCGATCGATATTCTCGTTGCAGAAGGCGCACCTTTTGAAAATTGTGGACAAAAGAAAAAAAATGGTACTTGTATTTTACACATACAGAGAGGGACAACTGTCATTAAAAATATTTATATGATTCTTTAACATTCTGTACAAAATAAAATATGTAATAAGTAGCCAAAGAAAATGCAAAATGTATATGAATCTTTTTATATGTGCACAGGCAACAAAATAAATGCAATGGAGCAGAGGATTGGAAAGCAAATCAGGATCACAATGATCGGAATGAAGAAGCTATCAAGACCTCAGCTGAAAGCTCAAATAAAAGAGAGGAGAGAAAGGATGAGGAAGGCGATGAGAATCTGGATGAGGAGGGAGAAGAGGAGGAGGAGGAAAAAGAGGAAGAGGAGCAGCAGCAGCAGCAGCAGCAGCAACAGGAGCAGAAACAGGAGCAGGAGCCTGTTCGCAGAAGTTCAAGGAAACAAAATCTAACATCAGATATGGTTGAGATGTCTTCTACCCATATAATAAGTGACAACCTATCGGAAGTGTTAGAAGATGTTATTAAATTGCATGTGCGACATAGTTCAAGATCAAAGCATCACAAGAATAAGACAAGACATCGCAGGGATAAGCGAAAGAAACGGCGACACATGAAAAACAGCGCTGAAGATAGAAGCTCCACTGGTTTAAACAAATTCGAAAATACCAACAGAAATACACCAGATATACAAAATGACTTGGCACAGAGTAAAGATTTGAATAATTGCAAGCCGACCGTAATCAATGAATTGGACACTAAATTGAAATTAATTGTAGGGAGTTTTGAAATTGATACAAAGGACATTAAATCCCCTATGACTAAGACTGATCATGTAGATAATATAAGATTTCGAAACGATGTAAATAGTACGACAAATAGCGATACCAGGTGCAAAGTAAATGCGATCGATGTACCTGGCGAATCGACGAGGGATATTTTAGAAGGTAATAGGATAATCAAGCTGCATTTTAATGATACAACCGTATCGTTCCTTCCGAATCACGCGTGTAACATCAAGGATTCAAACAAGGAAGATATAGAACATTTATCAAATTCAACATCCAATGGCGATGACTCTATCAAAATGCAGGCCTCGGATACACCTAAGAAAGAAAACGAGGCCAAGATAGCACGTTGTTTGGAATCGCATGAGTACAAGGATCCGACATCCCGGAACACGTCAAAAAATGGCGAATCCAAAGATCCGGAGGATCGCAAGCTCAAGAAGAAACGAAAACGTCCGCGTCACGATATGCAAGTCGACGAGAATTCCGCGAAGGATCTCTCTGAAAATAGTGCTTTGGATGAAGCGACGGTGTTTAAACATCGGCGAAAAAAACGTAAGCACATAAACGAGCACAAAAGCAAAAAACATGATATACGAAAGGCGCCGCAAGACGGCATGCTCGTTCAAGAGGAGACGCGAGAGGTGTGTCCGCCAAAGGCCGAGCTGCTGTCTTCGAGAGCGAGATCTGAAAAGAGTGTCGAAGACACCGAGTCGGAGATGGCAACGGCAATGATAACGGCGACAGCAACGGTGACGGCGATGGCGATGGCGATGGCGAT